GCTGGTCACTGGGTAAAACACTACTGTCCAAGCCTTGTAACCAAGCTCGGTTCCAGGAGTCTCCATACTTGTGGCGCACATCTGTCATCGAAGCACCCCTATGCTGAGATGGGAACCAGAGGCGGGAGAATTGTCCAGGAACCTGAGGACCAGCAAACTCACAGGACACCTCAGACAGCAGAAATAAGCACAGCCCCACCTCAGCAAGGAGGGAGGCAAGAACCGACTCCTGAAAGTTGTCCTCTGACCTCTACACTTGTGCAGGGTCACAAGTGTGCCTGCACACACACACACACACACACGCACGCACGCACGCACGCACGCACGCACGCACGCACGCACGCACGCACGCACGCGCGCGCACAAAACACAGGAAGGTTGTTTTAGGAGAGTCTAGGTATGTGTGCAGCTCCATCTCCAGAGTAGGAGATGACTGACTGAGAACCATACATGACCACAGAGGACATCAGCACTATGGTGTTCTAAGATGCCCTGGCCTATAAACCGACCAGAAAAAAGGACGGTTGGTGAAAGCTGGAGACAGTATGTGGTTATGTTATTGTTAGAGTAAAGGAGAAAGGTGTCCACTGAGTGGAAACGGATGAGGAGCTTGACTTACCTGGAGGCCTGAGACTGGTAGGAGACATCGTGAGCAGTGGCTCTCGTGGCTGAGAAATCGGCTTCTCTTTCAGGCAGCTCTCTCAGGATCGGAAGGCAAGCCTGGCTCCAGGAAGACATCCAGGGACCAGGAGGAGCCTGGGGTCTGCAAAGTGTGTGTTAGTCACAACTGGGGCAAGCTGTGACTTCTCATTTCTGTTTCTCTCTTCCTTTGCTCTTCCTCCCTCCCTCCTCCCTTCCTCCCTTCCTTCCTTCCTTGTGTGTATGCCACAGCTCATGTGTGAAGGTCAGAGGACAACCACTGTCTGAGTTGGTTCTTTTCTCCCACCATGTGGGTTCTGGGAATTAAAGTCAGGCCTTCCCACTGAGCCATCTCACTGGCCTCCTAGTGTTTTTTTTTTTTTTAAGCAATGCTGTGGGACGGTCTGTATGTCAAATTGCTCTGATTGGTCAATAAATAAAACACTGATTGGCCAGTGGCCAGGCAGGAAGTAGGTGGGACAAGGAGAG